GACGCTTCTGGAAGAAAGAGTTCATCATAAAGAGTCCCTCTTCCTCCATGAAGTCAGCCAACTGCTGGCCCTTTGGGTTCCGTTGCCCTATTCCAAATTTCCCTGCTTTCAGCTCACCGTTCTCTCTTGTGCCTAGTTTTGCATTGAAGTCTCCCATTAACACCGTATATTGGGTTTTGGAGGAATGCATGGCTCTAGAGATATCCTCATACATTTCCTCCACCTCCTGATCGGGGTGTGCCGAGGTTGGTGCGTAAACCTGTATGACCTTCAGCGAATACCGTTTGGTGATTCTGAGTAAAAGGTATGCAACCCTCGTCGACACACTCTCAATCTTTACAACGTTGTTAACGAGAGACTTGTGGACGATAAATCCGACACCTCCTTGGGACAGATGGTCGCCCTCCCGGTAATAGAGCAAGTTGCCTGATTCGAGGATTACCGTGTCCTCCCCCTCTCTTCGGACTTCGGATAATCCTATAATATGCCAGCGTAACTTGTCTATCTCTTCTTCCAGCTCCACAATCTTTTCGTCAGTCCTCAGGGTGCGTGCGTTGTATGTTGCCAGGTCGAGTCGTCGTAGGTGGCAACCGAACCTCCACCGGAGATTCTTAACACCCCCTGCCCCGCCGTTACCATGGTCGCCACCGTAGCCAGGAATAGCGGGGCTGCCGGGGACTGGGGACCGTTTATTATTGTCATTGCTCATGGGGGGTATATTGCCATAGTTGCCACGCTTGGCGAGCGGGTTGGCAACCGCAGTTTTTTTTATTGTTATTTTGGCTATTATCAGGAAGATGCTGCTGCCCATCTCCTGTCTGTTTCCCTTTGTCGCCTTTTACGACACCCACGGGAAGATATGGGGTAGTGGATATTCTTAACCGCCACTACACGGCAAGAAAAATATATACAGGGTTATTTTTCAAAGAGTAGACAAATTTTAAACTTAAGTTCAAATATATAAAAAATGATATGCTGTTATTGCAATTTTTTAAAATACAAGTAAATAAAGCTTCTACTTTATTTGAAATTACCCCAAATTGAATTTAATTTATGGGCAACAACTACGCGTACGCGCGCTTCTCTATGTACGATTCAATTCACAATGATTTTGTCTACCGATCAACCGTTACGAATGTGTGTGTGCGCATCAAAATCAGTTAATTTTATATTTTTTGATGTTATACTTCTTTTGGGGCGTTTGGGAAAAATATGAGAGTGATTTTTTAAGATGCTCGCGCACACCGACAGCTAAAAATGACACCATCAAGTTGTTACGATGCGCGCGCACACTGACACCTCAAAGCGACAACTTCATTGGTTAACCGTCTCTCAAGATTTCGTGGGAACTAACTTTAAGGTAGTTAGTTTTAGTTTTTAACAGTGGTAGAGCCACACAGCAGCTTTCGCTTTCGCACAGATGGGCCGGCTCGAACCAGGGTGGTACCACGACCTCACAGTAAACCAGCGTGAAGTAGAGGTTTACCTCTGCGTTTCGCTTGGTGAGTGCAGGTGGCTGGAGGCTCTTTTTACTGGAAATGAAGCATTCCATCTTAGTCCTCACGGGTGACAACGCATCTACATTTTGATTTGTAATAGGGGATAGATGTAGATGTCTAAGGGCCGCAGCAACCACTTACCATCAGTTGGACTGTGTGCTTGTTTGTCACCCTTATCCTATAAAAAAAGAGTTACTTTTGTTTTGTCACGCTAAAAAAAGTATAAATTCCTACGTGCGTATATAAGTACACACACACACGTTTTTTATTAATATTTCTTCACCATTTGCCTAAGTAGTAGGTAATCTTATTATCTCGCTATCTATATCTAGATCGCATAATACGGAGAGCTCAAGCTATCACATGAAAACTATTTCATATTTCAGATTGATAATGATCACAGAATTTAAGGTGAACTAAAGCCTGTTGAATGGTGAAAACAATTCTAACAATTTTTCAATCGTGCTCGAGTGCATTCCTCCTTCTTTAATAAATCATTTTCTATTACAGCTGTACGCTTGTGGAAATCCTTGCTTATATATGTTCGCCGTGGCAAGGAAGCAAAGAGTCTTTCCATGAAAATCTACTCAAAGCTTATTACTTTGGACTTTAATAGTTCTCATCAATTTCTTAAGCCTTATTGTACCTTAATTAATAATAATATTTAAATTATAATTTTTCTTGTACATTAATTCAACATTTCAATCTTTTAGGTATTGAATTATCCAAAATCCTATTTTAATTAATATGTACGCTATAAAGGGAACGTATTTTATTACGGTTTCATGCTTCTACTACTAGTGTTATTGGGCTATGCGTTGGTAGATAAGTCAGTCACTCTAGAAGTCATTATTTATTATTGTACGAAGATTATTATTTAAACGAAGAACACACACAGATATATATATATATATATATATATATATAATATATGTGTGTGTGTGTGTGTGTGTGTGTGTGTGTGTGTGTGTGTGTGTGGGTTGTGGGTGTATATATATGTATATGTCGGTATTTTTTACTCCTCCAGTCTTACCAGTTCCAATTATCTTATATCCAATATATCCAATTAACTTATATACCCAACAAAACATGCTTTAATATATTATATCTTTTACAAATTTATTAAACAAGTGAAAACAAGTTGTATTATTAAATATTTATTGTAGAATCTTATATAGCTGGTACTTCTTAGCTAATACAATATATAAAAACGTAAAGAGATCAGAGAGAAACCCTTAAGTATATAAAATGACAAGGACCCTTTGAAGAAACATAATTTCGAACAGTTTTTAAAAGAAAATGAAAAGAGTTTTTAGTGATAGTAATCAAACAATAAAAAGGCGCACAGTAATTGTTAGAATGTCCATTATGCTTTTGCCTTTGAGCTTTAATACTGAATTGACAATTACTTTCGCAACCTTTGCCTCGGCTTTTAAAATAAATTAAGCAAAATTCAATAGCCGTTGTTGTTAATACAAACGATAATTTGATGACAGATTGTACAGTTTTTTTTTGCTTGGCATATTTTTTTCTTTTGAAGACCGTCCTTCCTATTGAAATAAATTTATACAATGGGAAACAAAGCGTTGAAAGATGGTCCTTAAGAATTTTTTTTGGTTTCAGAACGAACCAGCAGTGGATAAACGCTTGTTCTTGTTCTATAGCTACTGTTTTTCGAGGTGATGCTGTTACGGCTTTCAACACCACCTACACAAAAAACTTCAGTAGTATTGTGAGCGAATAGTAATACTTAAAAAATAATAAATAGACTCCAAAAAAGTTTAAAATGCATTTGTTTGTCGCTGTCTTATTTATGCACGAAATATCATTTCCTACTAGTATGAATTGCAAACATTTTGAAAGAAGCGCAGGTAAAAAAGGGTCGTGTGCTATTCAATTATCAACCGTCTAATAAGCAAAACTTCTTACCGTGTAGTGGCAGTGTAAGAATATCCACTACCCAATATCTCATGGGTGTCGTTAGAGGCCCATGAGATATACAGATGGACACAAATCAGGAGATGGCAGCAGCGTCTTCCTAATAACGACTAAAAACAATAAAAGCTATGGCAAATATCCCCCTTTTCATAGAATAAGGATATCAAACGTCAACACAATGACAAGTGGATGCTGTTGGCCATAGACGTCTACATTTACCCTCAAAAATAATTAATATGCACATGCGTTGTCCCCCTTAAAAACTAAAATGGAATACCTCGTTTCCAGTAAAGGGGTCCCCTCTACACTCAACATACGAAATATAGCAGCAGGACGCTGCAATTTTACACCGCTATTCTGTAAGAGTGTGGTACTATTGTGTAACGGTTATATGCAAAATATATTCTCGTAATTCCATATTATTATTACCAGCTGTAAATTAAAGCAAATTAAGCGTCTTTTCTAACAGTTTTGCCATGTGGTGGTGGCGTGAGGGAATCAATCACCCCATTTCGTCCCGTGAGTGTTATAACAGGTGACTCTGGGAGTCTGGGATATACCAAATAGATCTTAAGGCTTTTGATAGATGACGGTTATAACTATCTCACTTGCGCAAAGCGTGTAATACTTAGAATGGTTTGTGGAAGCAGAGTCAAAGTTATTCCGGTGCTGCAATCGTCTATCCGCCTGTCAAGAGTGTCGATTAAGGCAAATTCCCTTTACAATGGAAGTGGCCCTTCTCCAGCAGTAGACTTTTGTGGACAGATGACGAAGAAAATTAAACGTTATTTAAATTAAGAAATGCAAATGCTCTGGTACGGCAAACGTCGATCGTCGAAAATTGCAGTTAACGATTTATTTCGTACCAGTGAGGATTAAACTCGGTTTTCTCGCGTATAATGAAGTTCTAAGGCACACACTTACCCTTGTAGTATTGCTAGGGTAACCTAACCTAAAAAAGTTAAAGTTACATCCTATGTACATACATCGCACAGCTGGGCACAGGCCTTATCTCATTTCTGAGAGGGTTTACAGCAAGAAAATGTCCGCCCCGTTGCCAGAATGCATGTTGGTGAACTTCACATGTCTTCGAAATATTTTTTTTCTTATATGTCAGACATGCAGGCTTCCTCACGATATTTTCCTTCACTGCCAAACACGTGCCGGTCGGGATCGAACCCGGATCGCTCGCATACTTTGAAATTTACAGCGAGCGCTTAGCCCTTGAGCTACCACGGCGGACATAAAATTACTAATACTATTTTTAAATAGATAGTGTAATATTATATGAAGAATATAATATTATTTTACATTAATATAATATTATGAATGTGCCACGTGTTCGGTGGAAGAAAAATATTGTCAGAATGCATGCCTGAGAAATATAATATTGCGAGGAGCGCGGTACACTAATAACCACATAACCCTCTCAGTAATAGAGGATGCCTGTGTCCAGCTGTGACATGAATATTAGCTTTGACTTTACTTTATAAATTATCAATGAAGATTATGATAGTAACAGACTTTATTTTTATTTTTCAAGGTACGCAATTCGCGACAGCAATGTCGCTGGAGGGGCAACGATGCTTGTACGTCGTTGTTCTGCTTATCCATACTGTTACTGGAGCTGGTGAAGGTATGTGAAAAATGTTAGCACACTGTTAAATAGTTTTCATAAATGAATAAAAACTCTTATTCATCACTATAGCTCACCGTACACTTGAAATTAGAAAATAATAAATAAACATCTAGTTACAGTTAGTAGTATCCGACTCGAAAGTCCATTTGTTATAGCGTAAGATTGCGTAAGGGTCACTGATAGAAGGTTAAATAAATATAAAATGTACAAATTTAATTTGCGGTCCATATGCTACGGTAGTTATGACGATGCATAGGGGCACCGTCGTCGCCTTTGCGAAATTGATAATTAGAGTTAAAACGGAGTCAAAGTGCAGTGGGTACAATGTACGTACGTATAAATATACATGTGAGAACCATGTATTTACAGCCTATGAGGTTGTTCTCAGTGGAGATTTTGCATTTGTTAATACACTTACGCATTAGTCCTTCTATTACCTATTGGTCTAGTGGTCGTTAGCACGACTGCTGTTTATGTGATCCCCGTGTTCATTTCCTGGTCTGGCCAAAATCAGTTATTATATCTATTAGGCTTTTCTGCAAGAAATTCTCAATAGCAGTCTTAAGTCCGGAAGTTGTCTTGCCGTTGCCGAAAGCCGTTGGTCTCGTACCTGAGGTTGCCGTTCCATTAGAGTATGAGATTGAAGGAATGGACAGTGCACATGCGCTTGAGCACACACATATGCACTAAAACTTTGTCCTGCACAGATAGTTGGTCTCCGTTGAGTTTGGCCACAGTGACCGAAATTTAAATTATTATTACTATTGTTTTATTTGCTGCTGTTGATAAGATGGCTGGTTCTTTTCTCGCTCAAAGGCTAAGTATAGCCATTCACACAACGCAGCCAGCATTCTTGGCACGATACCGCGGGGAGTAGGACTATATGATAATTAAGTTTCTAGTTTTAGTTTATATTTATATTTTTGAATATTGTTTAAAATATTGTATATTTAAATGTGCGTGACGGCTCCGTGGCGCAGTGGCTTAGCAATGAGTTACTGCGCTGGAGGGCGCGGTTTCGAATTCCACACGGAACAAGTATTTGTATATAATTAATAGAATCAGGCTTTACTTTGCGGAAATCCATTATATAAAAGCTTTTACAAAAATTTACTTCGCAAATATCCGCGTTATAAAATAAAATTATGTGTCTTACCTAGTCTTACCGGGAGGTGCTCTTCATACTAGGTAAGACACATCATTTTATTTTATAACGCGAATATTTGCGAAGTAAATTTTTGTAAAAGCTTTTATAAGTATTTGTATAGCCTACAAATAATTGTTCCGGGTCTGGATGTTTGTCCTTGTGTAATTTGTGTTTGTAAACTGCCTTCACGATACAGGAGAAAATCCTAGTGTGGGGGTAACGTTTAAAAAAAAAACAAAAAAAATATAATATCTAATGTCTAGCAAGCACCGCCCTACACTTTGTTTACCAGTGCGGGGCTGCCACCGCAAAACTTTCTTCACTATCTCTTCTTGATTCGTTGAGCTTTATGGCCAGCCCGTTTTTACAAGCTTGTTGATCCGAATGACGGTAACATAGGTATTACTGCAGTTACTATCGTTACGGATTCCATCTTGCAAAGAAACTGCGAGCATGATTTTCTCCATAGCTAGCTGAGCGAGCCTTCGTCATAAGGCTAGTAGTGAAGGATCGCGTCTCATTTCCATAATATGTACTCACTGGCACCTTGCACTTGTTTTAGGGTTTCGAGGAAAACGTGATGAGAAAATGTGTAGTAATCTAAAAGTTGGATAAATCGATTGAACTTTTGATCGAAGATCGAATTAATTATTTGGACAGTTGGTCATAGGTAAAAAACCCAACACAAACTTCGAGTATAGTGTTCTCAGCAAATACTAGTATAGGTGTGATGATACCCTTAACCGACGAGCGTGTATGCGTAGATATATGGATGTAAAGGAGGCGAGAGAGGTGTGTTAGGATCGCGATCGCGAAAGTCCGTAATCTCCGTGTGTGTGTGTGTGTGTGTGTGTGTGTGTGTGTGTGTGTGTGTGTGTGTGTGTGTGTGTGTGTGTGTGTGTGTGTGTATGTGTGTGTGTGTGTGTGTGTGTGTGTGTGTGTGTGTGTGTGTGTGTGTGTGTGTGAGTGAGTGTGTGTGAGTGTGTGTGATGAGCCATTAGATGCAGGGTGTCGATGGATGACTCAGGATAGTATTTTGCTTTGGTAAACGCGTTGATGATAATGATGATGATTATATCTCATAATATAAAATTAATATTTGTTATGCCATTCATCTGAGTGCCATGAATTGACTGGCTCATGGCTACAGGTTCAAATTCTGAACGGAAAAAATACTGCCTACAAATAAATAATTGATCCCGGCGTGAATGTTTGCTCTTGTGTAATTTATGTACCATGTAAACTGTATTCACACAGAATAGTCAAATATTGTCCTCCATACCAAATTTCTGTCACGGCGGATAGTTTGAACGAAGACTAGCTATCTGTGCAGGAAAGCATGCCCGACTGTATACGCAAGCATAAGTGCAATCTCTATTCACTCACTTTCATAGTCCAATGGGACGGTAATCCGACACGACCGGAGAGAGATCAGGCGCATGACCTGAATTTGTGACTTCCTAAAATTAAAAAATAAAGTAATTTCTACATATTAGCTTCTGAAGTTGGGGCATTACTCTTAATTATTTAATGATAATTGTCTTAGCACTGAATAATAGGTGAAAATTTTGTAATTTTTTTGTTTTTTGGTACGGTTCATTTTTTATAAAAAGTTTAATTATTTCATAAATTGTATGCAAGCATTTAACATAATATATAAAATTATTATTAGGAAACTTCACAAAATTATTGTTAGGGGAAAGGTAAATACAAAAAGTAATCAGGCCAACCAAGTTTTTAGCGAGATCATAGATACAAAGCTTATACAAGTGAACAAAGTCTGAGCAACGAAGACACAAAGCGTTAGAAAACTAACAATACATTAAAAATAACAATGGAAATATTGCCTCTTTATGTTCTAAGTAAGAACTGTTTTTGCTTGAACAATTCACAAGAACGTTTAAGAGATTGAGTTAAATAGGTTCTTAGATGTAATAAGAGATTTCTTTACTGCTCTACAAATTTCATATAAATACAAATAGTAAGAATACGAGTAAATAGAAGAAGCATATGTTATCAAAGGAAAAAGAAATAAATTGTGTTTAGAGTTGCTTTTTTGTATCTTCTGTTTCTTTTTTAAATAATTTTGAACTGACCAGGTAAAGTATGGTGGTGCAGTCCATGGCCTGGGGGGGTGGTGCGATCTATGGCCCTATATGGCTCTGTTTCCGAGAAGAACATAGCCTTCTTAAGAAGACATTTGAGCGCGATGACCGATGGAGTTATACGAAGATATTGCTCTATCTCCTATGAGGCAGTGTGTATACTGGCAGTATCCCCTCCTTGGGATTAGGAGGCGGAGTTTCTTGCGACTTTGTACTATTTATGCTTGGCTTCACTCAACTCTGGCTTCAATGATATCATTCCTCACCCAAGAAGTGGGAAATACGAAACTTCCATGCTTGGTATTTTATGCCAGAAAAGTGGAAGGGGCTATTCGCCCACCCGAGAGCAGAAAACAGAACTGTTGAACCCGAAGTTTAGACTAGACGAGCAGGCGGCACGAGTCATCAATCTTCCAACTGGTACAAGTCCTTTAAGGCCATGGTTGTTTTGGTAACCAGGAGAAATAACCAGGATATTTGTCCATGTGTCAATTTATGCAAGATATAAAAATTTGCATTTGGATAAATAATTCACAACAAATACCCCGCAGCACCGCATCCAAACGCTTAACCTTAATTTAGCTACGTTTTAAGTTAGTAGATAAAACACAAATTTTATTAAGGTATAAATAAAGTATAATCTTGTATGCTTCATTCAGTTACAGCTCTATTTAAGCAATTTACCAACGTGAATATGCGTAAAATCCATTTTTTATAAGACAGAAGTGACAATCTGGCCCATTTAAGTATCCCCGATTTGGTCAATAAACATTCGTCTAGGGCGTCCCTTCCCGACCCTGCCGTTCACTTTTGCAACATAAATTTGCTTTGTCACTCTTTCCTCGTTCATTCTTTCTACATGACCAAACCACCGAAGCATTCCTTTCTTAATCCTTGTCACAACGTCATCTTGCACACAGCACTTTTCTCTTATCACACCATTTCTCACCCTGTCATTCAGATTCAGCCCTAGCATACTCCTTGAAGACCGCATTCCTACAGCATTTATTCTACTCTCATGCTTCTTCTGCCAGACCCAACTTTTACTAGCATACATTAAAGTAGGGACTACCACAGCGTTATGAATTGCCATACGTGCCTTAATTGACACATTCTGACTACTAATAATAGCGTGTAGAGCCCCATTCACTCTATTTCCTGCGTTCACTCGTCGTTCTATATCTTTATCATATCTACCATCCCTGCTAAATAAACATCCCAAATATACAAACTCATCCACTTGCTCAATCAACTCCTCTTCTATTCTTATTTCACATAAAGTTTTACTTTCTTCTCTTTCAAAAACCATTATTTTCATCTTACTTGCGTTCACTTTCATACTCCTTTCTTTCAATGACCAATTCATTAAAGTAACTATCATTTGCAACTGGGCCGCCGACGATACAAATATGACTTGATCATCGGCGTACAAAAGGCATTTGACGGTTGACTCACCCATTCTCAACCCACATTCTTCAACTTTCAAAGTTTGCAAACAACTGTCCATAAATAGGTTAAACAGCCACGGGGAAGCCACACATCCCTGTTTGACACCTTTATGAATACCAAATCAGTCCAAGTAGACCCCGTTGATCCTGACACAAGCACTAGAGTCCCTATAAAGAGACCTTAATGCCTGTATCAAATCAGCGCTCAACCCAAATGAGTTCAGTATTTGCCATAACACATTCCTGTTCACTCTGTCATACGCCTTTTCCAAGTCCATGAACGCACAAAAATCTTTCTGGTTTTTGGCCAAAAACTTTCTCCGATATCATGCGCATGGAAAAGACTTCATCCGTACACCCCATCTCCTTTCTAAATCCAGCTTGCACATCCCAAATTTTTCCATCAGTTTCTACCATAACTCTTTCAATTAACACCTTAGCATACAATTTACCCACAATGCTAAGCAAGCTGATACCACGGTAGTTTTTACAGTCGTGCTGCGACCCCTTTCCCTTATATATTGGGACTATAACGGCTTTGCACCAGTCTTCTGGTACCCGCTTCAGTTCCCAACATAAATTAAACAAGGTGTACAGCAGGCCTGTAACCATACCCTGTCCAGCTCTTAGCATTTCGAGTGATACTCTATCATATCCAGCTGCCTTACCTGATTTCATGCTTTTCATTGCTTTCATTATTTCATCTACACTTATTTCCCTAGCTCTCTCCACTTCTTCCGGAATTTCTATTTCACTTACTTCAGACGACTCTTCACTCTTAAACACGCTTTCAAAGTATTCCTTCCATCTCTTTAAATTCCAAACTTCATCACTCAACATGCAGCCATTTTTGTCTCGTATAGCATTCATTCTAGGCTGTTTTGAATTTCCCCTGGCAGTTCTTACGAGCTTCCAGAACATTTTAATATTTGCCTGGAAGTTATCAGATATTCTTCTATCATTCTTATCTATCCTTTCTTGCTTTTTTATTTCAAAAACTTCTTTTACTCTCTTATTTATACGTCTAAAGTCTGCCTTTTTTCTTTTAATCTCATCATTCATACTGCAAGAATTAGCAGCTTTAGTTGCTAGTAAATCTAGCCATGCTCTCTTCTTTTCTTCAACTTCCATCCGTACCTCATCATCCCACCACAACGTATTACTTTTCCTTTCATTCGTTCTCTTACTTACACCACATACTTCGGTGGCTGCATCCACCAAAACTTTCGTAATATTATTCCATACATTCTTAAAGTCTAAATAATTTATATATCATTCATTCAACCCACTTATATAATTAATAGAATCAGGCGTTACTTTGCGGAAATCCATTATATAAAAGCTTTTAGAAAAATTTTTTTCGCAAATATCCGCGTTTTAAAATAAAATGATGTGTCTTACCTAGTATGAAGAGCACCTCCCGCCCTCCCTCAATCCCCGCACTATCCCCGTCACCACTTATCCCAGCACCGCTACTCCCAACACCACTACACTAGGCAAGACACACCACTGACGATAATACGACACGTGTTTCGCCTCTACACGAGGCATCCTCAGGTGATATAGACTCTACGGTGGCTAACCGCTAAGTGAGCGGCGAGCCAAAATAAGTGCCTTTTATACAGACCAAAGACGCAACCGCATTCTACTTAAGGAGCGAACGACTGCGTCATGCGATAAAACATGCGACCAATCACCGCCGGACTTACGCAGCCGTTTGTAAAATTTTGTTCTGACGCTTGCAAACAACATTAAACATTAAAATTTACTGATGCGTTTTCGCCTATGAGGAGTAATTTGGAATGCCTCACAGCTTGTAGTTATATTACTATACGTCTAATTTTGAGTTCGATGTAATTTTGATGTTTATTTCGTCATAGATCCTAAAAACAAACCCTTTTTCGTGATCATTTTATTGCTTTCAAAGACTAATTTCAGTGAGAAAAGTGGAATAATTAAGGATATTAGATTATCAGGTGACACCGTAAAAGTCATCAGCATATTTTATTGTAGATTTCGTGTCAGTGGTGATTATAGGAAATGCAAAAAGTTGTTCTCGCTTGTAATGGTTTTATTTACACCAGATGAAGCCTGAAGTCTAAACTCAGTCGTTAAAGTTGCTTCTTTGCGTCACCACTCAACACTCACTTCTTTAAGAAAGAAAGCAGGAAAACATTTATTTTGCCATATAAATACAGCGCAATATTGTACATACTCGTCAACTCGTCAACCCGCCTGTCAAACGTTACAATTAAGGCGCATTCTTCGGATTCAGATTCTTCTAGCTGTTGACTTTATTTTCCTTTTATGGGTTCATACAAATAGAGTAACACTTTGAGCTGCTTACCTAGGCATGAACTTTTTTTTTAATAGGATAGGGTGACAAACGACCACACAGTCTACCTGATGGTAAGTGGTTACTGTGACCCATAGACATCTACATCTATCCTCAATAAGACTCAAAATGCAGATGCGTTGTCACCCGCGAGGACTAAGATGGAATGCCTCTTGTCCAGTAAGAAGGGTCTCCGATTCTCTACACTCACCATACGAAACACAGCAGCGTTAAGCTACTATTTAAGCTGGTATTCTGTGAGAGCGTGGTTCTTCCCCAGTCGAGCCGACCCAATCGTGCTACAACTATACTACTAATATAGCTGCAGCATGGCTCTACCACGTACAAAAACTTAATATAACTTTTTTCTCATTATTAAATGATTATTACTAAGAAATTTTTATTTGCAGCACCATCAACATCACCATCTCCAGTATCATCATCGACAACATTGAAAGCAGATCAAAATGAACTGACCGTCACTTTTCCACCACTTGATGATTTTTATGGCAACCCACCAGAAAAACATTTCGGAACTGAAAATAACACAATCGTTACATCGCAGACCGGATCTACTGCACTCTTGCCCTGCGTGATTAGAAACATTGGCGACGGTATTGTAAGTACTAATTTACTAACTTTAATAGATAAAATATAAAAAACACAAATTAATACGTTTTATGGCTGTTATAAACTTAGACATTTTAAAATCATGCTAAATTTTCTATCTATATGTAACATCCATAAAATTTTAACAAGTCCACTGCTGAACATAGACCTGATCCATATATTGCCTCATTGGGGGTATTTTCGCCAAAATTTCCAACTCGCCAGGCGGGTTGGTAACCGCTTTTTTATTAAATTTTCTCTGTTAAGTTTCTGTTTCGAAGTACAAGTGTGATTCTTTGCTTTTTCATCTCAATGTTACTAAAAATGACTAAATTATCAAATTTCTTATGTATATTATAACACATCTGTAAGATTTGGAGCGCTTAAATTGATTAGAAAGGATTTATGATTTAATCAATAGAATCAGGCATTACTTTTCATAAATTCATTATATTAAAGACGTGAAATATAAATAGGCAAGCATCTGCGAGACATTAAAATGAAGTGGCTTATATTATGTATTCAATTTGACGGGCATGCACTGTCACTGCCACCACTGAAGTCTACACCACAACTCCAATTACACTAGGTAATACACATCACCACCGTAAGTACCTCGTTTAGATGCGAAACACGTTTCGTACAATAAATTTGTGCGAAATGTGTTTCAGCTACAATCGAAGCATCACCAGAAGAAATAGACTACGTGATAGCTACCAGCTAAGATAGTATAGGTAATTTATACGGTTCTGTAATCTTAGATTGTAAAGTAGCTAATAATTTTTCCGAGACTTATTTATTAATCGAAAAAAATCAGAATATACTTAAATTTTTTTTTTCATTCGTGTCAACAACCATATTTTGTATTTGAAATACAAAATATGGCTGTTGTGTTCTCTATGGGCGTTTAAGGCGTATATGTTTTAGTAAAGGTTAGGTAGGTTTGTTCGGTATCGATTTTATAATGATGAAACTGAACTGGAATACAACGATAATACATGTCGTTGATGTAATTCCAGCTATTAGTATACTGCGATGAAAAACATAACATCGTTACGACGACGAAATACATAGAATATAAAAAATACTAACACAAAGCCAATCTTAGAGGATCTTGTCATAAAAATAACAAAAGAATTTATCTAGAATATTATATCAGAGCCAACTTGTCTGATGTTCATTTTAAAACTTTTGTTGTGGCTTAAGTAAAACAATCGTGAATGAAGATTATTTTTGAAGTAGATAATTCGGGTTGGGTTTAAGATTCGATAAAGGTAATTTGTCGGGATTTTTGGCCACTTGCTTGTCGTGGCTGTGTGAGAGAATCCATCAGCCCGTTTATTTTTTTATAATATAACAATACATTTTGTTCAGTAACGGGTGCTGGAAAGCACCCGAAACGTCGGGAATATAAAATAAGTTAATATACGCGATAAAATCCGTAAAATTAGTTTTATTTAAAAATATATTTCTTAACCCTTAATTTGGCAAGGCAATTTATTTTTAATTTTTATAGAAATTTCGACAAATATCAATTAAGTAACTTATTTAGCACCCTAAAAAAATATTTAAAAAAAAGAAAATCTTGTAGTTTTTTGAAAATCCTCCGTATCTACCAGGATACACTGCCAAATACGGACATAATGATATGCAACTGACAGTGTATCTGCAGAGATACATTGCCAAAATTAGGTTCTGAAAGAAAATAAAACAAATCGAGAAAAATGTTAAATTTTAATTATGGAAATCGAAAAAACAGTTTCTAGCTTTAGTCAGACATAACCTTGTTCTACATTTTGAGCAACAAATGCTAGTTTGACCCGTTTTACAGAGGCGACAACGACCTTTCTCCTCGAAAATTGGCAGGTGATCTGCTCCATCATACCTTGTGTCATCGAATGGTCGAGGAACTACAGGTTTTTTTATTTTTTGGTTACAATACGGAACATCATGGTGCTCTATCGGTTTGGATGCCAATGAAAAAAAAATTTGGCATCGAAATTCTTTGAGTGACATGGTTTTCTTGAGATTTTTCTGGGCACAATATCTTCGATATAGAATCCATCCGTTATTTACGCTGATATCTAGCATCTGAGCAAAAATGCCCATATACCACCTGCGACTTTTTATTTGGGTCCTATAAAGGGCTATCAACATGTCTGCCAAGTCAACACCTCCCATATGCATGTTATAAAATTTTACAACCTGCGGACAATATACATTCGTCCGCGTTTTCAGTTCTTTGGAATATCTATTTACTTTGCTAACTGGATATGCGTCAGCAAATGAACAGGCCAAGGTAACTGGCTTATTATCTAACCACTTTACGACTGAAACTTTATTGCGATTACAAACTATCTGCGAAAATGATCCCCGACCTTTTCTTTTTAGCATTTTATCTGTATCCAATTTCTCTTGACATCCTCGCAAGCGGTTAGCCTTTACAGTACCAAGGCTGAATATTCCCAGCTCATTTCTCAAATACACTACTAGCTCGAGAGATGTGTAATAGTTATCGAAATATACAAAGCATGGCCTTTTTTTAATCGATTGACAGAGAACCACTACTACTTTACCTCCAAACCCTAACGAATGTTCCTCTGAGCTGAATTGTATACTGCGGAAGGTATCGTCACCCCCGTATAAAAGGAAGTCGTAAACATATCCAGACACTCCACTTCGTACAAAAGTTTTGAAACCCCACTTCTTTGGTTTTTTTGCATTGTATTGACGCCTGTTGCCAGCCTTTTTACCTTTGTAAGGAAGAGTCATCTCGTCAATGCTAAATCTGTCCTCTTCTTCAGCAACACGTAAGCAGTTTTGTCTTACACTTTCAACTACAGGTCGAACCTTTTGGTATCTATCCGTACTCGGTTCATTATTATCAGCGAAGTGAATAAATCGCCGGATTAGCAGATATTTCTTCAAAGGCATAATGTCTGCAATTGGCGGATACCTCAATCGCGAACTCCAGTAATCTAAATAACACGGCATTCTTACCACCCCCATAAGAATGTGAATAGCCACAAAATTTTCAATGACTGGCTTCGTTATGTTAGCAGAGCGACCTGTTTTTTCTACAGAATACATATTACTTTGATTTACAATTTCAGTAATGATTTCATCGGAGAAAAACAGTGCAAAGTACCTTCGTGGAGAAATATCTTCAGGAGGTGGATCTGTAAATACAACTGGTTCTATGGAAGCACTGTGGGAAAAACGTGTTTTTTTCCAGTGGAAATTTAATTGTAGTCGTTTTGCTCTTTTTACTAGAAGTCGGGGTTGCATGTCACGTCCGCGCTTTCTAGATCTCGTGCATATTTGACCACGTGATGTAGATGGAGTAACTGGCACAGGTAAAGCCGGTGATGGCAATAATGGAATCGAACTTATAGAAGGTAAAGAATTGTAATCAATTTTGTCATTGGAAGGAAATACAGCATTCAATACAGGAGAAAGCGCTACATCAAGGATCGAAGGCGAATCGGATCGATCGTTAGTCACAGAAAGTGACGCAGCTGGTGTTGCAAAAGAGGGATCTTCGTCATCGCTGTCAAGTATATTCATTCGTTCGAGTGACGAATCTATGGAAGGCGGAGAAGAACTGAAACAGTCTTCATCTGGAGGTTCAAAGAACTCCTCTTCTTCAACGTCTGACAGCTCACTACCATCAGACTGTGCATTTCTTTCAGGTAATGGTGCAAAAATGCAGTTACACCTAGCCCGTTGAAGTATCTATGGACAATAAAATAAAAAAACATATGAAACCAAAAACCAAACCCAAGCAAAAATAAAACAAAAGACACCATAACACGAAAATACTACATAAAACATCAGGCAAATTCATAAATCAGATATTAATCTTAGATTTGGCGGGGCGGGATTACTCACACAGCCATAAAATATAGTATTATGTATTAGTATTAGTATATAATATAACTTCAAACGTCAAGCATTGTTTTACTAAGTTTTGACGGTGTATCCCCTCAGATACAGTATTATGTTACACAACTTAGCCGGGTTTTTGGCAATGTATCTGTGTGGATACAATTAGGTTAGAATACATACTAGGGCCTAGAAAACACATTTCAAGACAAGATTTTTATCGAAATCATTAGTTTAGTTCAATACAAAAACATTGCAACAAATATTTCGTGTCAAAAACTATAAAAATACAGATAAAATCGATATTACTTACGGATGGGTTGCTCCCATGACGTGACATCTTCGCAGAATAACATAACTAGGGATGGGAATGAGTCGAAAATGCAGTTTATAGTTTTTATAGTGTTGTTACTTAATCCATCTTTAACATAAAATCGATCGATTTCAAATAAAATGTTTATATATCGCTGAAGATTTTTTTTAAATGATTGTATCTTACAGTACACATTACCAAATTAAGGGTTAACTAACTTTTGGCCGCGGCTTTAGCTGAACATCATTATTTCGAAATCATAGCCTTTGTTCACCTTTACTTATAGGCGTCTGTCCGCGACTTCATCCGAGTTGAAGTCGGAAAAAATATTTTTGTTGCTATAACCCAACACAGAATGTCTACATTTTAAAAAGTATCTTGCTTGGAGTTCAAATTGCTTATGAAATATGTTGATTTATAACTAACTAATTAACTAAGTATTTTAACTTTTGAAGAATAAATCAACAGTTGGTCGCTAAATTGGTAGCTTTAACGACGCATTTTAAAATTTATCACACAGCAGTAAATGGGAGGATTTGAATAAAAATTCATCTGAATCTCATAATCATCTCGCTGGGTTTTTTTGTTAGTTATTTCCAGGACAAATGTATTTTTCAGTCCAGTGGTAAATCAAACAAAAAATTACATTAATTAACATTTTATGAAATCTTTAATAAATAAATGTTATATTTCTTATTATATTTTTGCACCGTGTAGTGGCGGTGTTAGAATATCCACTACTCCAAATTGTCCTGTGAATATCTAAAGAAGCAAACTAGGAAGCAGGCAGCTTGCCAAGCGTGGCAACTATGGCAAATATATCCCTATGAGGTAATCTACGGCGGAGGCCTTTGTTCAGCAGTGGACTATTTAGATGGATAGGCTGTAGAGGTAAAGGTCAAGATAATAATTCTGTTAAAAGCATCGATAGTTTATATTCATTTTATAACTTTTAAATTCGTTTTATTTAATGTGTTACACTTGGTAGAGCCACGCCGCAGCTATATTATAGCTATAGTACGACTAGATCGGCTGGACCGGGGAAGGAACACGCTCTCACAGAATACCAGCGTAAAATAGCAGCTTAAAGTTGCTGTGTTTCGTCTGGTTAGTTTAGTGAACTGCTCACACTTTTTACTGGAAATGAGGCTTCCATCTTAGTTCTAAAGGGTGACATGGCATCTGAATTTTTATTTCTAATATAGGATAGATGTGGATGTCTATGGGCCACCACTCAACACCAGGTGGACTGTGTTACCCTTTTGTAACCCTTTTTCTATAAAAAAATTTAAAAGTTATTTGTATAATATGCATTTTTTTCGTATTTACACATTTCGCAAAAATATGCAATGAACCGTGATATTGAACCGTTATGTTACACCATCTGCACATCTACTGAAGCGTTCCTTTTTCCCCTGCAAAATAATAAGAAAAAATACCGAGTTTCAGCATTATTTTAACGTCGGTATATTTTCCTAAAGAAAAAATATTATTCGAGTTTTGATAGTTGGTTCTTGTTGACATGATAGATTACAAAAAATACATATTTACAAACGCGTATTTTATGTAGAATGCGTTTATTTTATAAATGCGTTTTTTTTTATAGAATGAGAGTTACAAACAGGTACACATTCCACACGATGATAAGTGGCTATTATGGCACCTAGACATCTTAATCTATCCTTAATTTTGTTGAAATGCCTCGTTTCTAGTAAAGAAGATTCTCTGGTGGTTCTCTCGTGGCTCTACCACGTATAATAGTAAATCACAAATATCAATTTAGTAATTTGTTACTAAAATGATTTATTATATGCATCATGATTTTATTAATGCCAGTTTCTGGCAGCTTCAAATAATTTTTCTTCAATTTTAAATCGTTCACTGATACTCCCATTACTTCTGATATACTAACCCAAGCATTGTGTAATTTCTGCTTATTTTTATGATGATGCTTTGGATTAAAAATGACTGGCTGACTTTGGTAAAGCTCTAAAACATCGTGACTTTATTGTTGGTCCAGTCCATTTTGTTAAAGTTGCTTGATTGGCCGTTCGCTACAAAATGAACAATAAAGCGAATGTGTTAACACTAGTTCGTCTCGCCGCTCTTTTCCCTTTGACTCGTATCCTAATAATTACAACTTTAAAAAAAAGTAAAAACCGACTTCTATTTGCTAAAAAAGGGTATCCTTACGGGTGAAATTTTTCTCCAAATTTATATGGGACCACCCTTGAAGTACACACTATTTAACAAAAAAAAGAATCATTAAAAGTGGTTCCCAATCTGCGAAGATATCGTGTAACATACACACAAAAAAACATATACTCGAATTGATACCCCCTCCTTTTTGAAGATGGTTAAAAACCTTTATTGACGCGAACGTAACGAACGGGGACGCCGTCGTCGTGCTCGTGCCTCGACTCGCTACTCGCCTCATCATTCGCGTGATTGTATAATGCGCCTATTAATAAAGACACCATGCTACAATGAACCTATAATGAATAATATTCACACATAAACATTAGTCCTTATAAAAGATATCTAAACTTTAGTTAAAAATCCTAAATGAATGTTAATATATATATTATATCTTTTAGTTAATAGTTTTAAATTACATTTTTTTTCAAATTGTATCAACACTTTATTACATTTGTATAAAGATTTGCATACCTAACTTAGGTATAATTATTGCAAAATTATATATTTATATACGTATTTTTGTGTTATTGACTGATTATATACAGTTTAATTTGACTAAAACGTCGACAATTAAAATAAGTCATAAAATAGCGCATTAAATGCGACAATTATATTCTTGGAAATATAAGAAATTATTACCTGCCCAATTTAAGATAAGTACCATAAAGAAATTATTTAGATAATAAACCTTTTTTCAATCTGTATTATATTAAATCCATTCTTATACTTAACTGTAAGAATTTATTAAATGTAATTCATGCTTATATCCTGTTATTTGGATTGAATTTAGGTCGCTCTCAATTCTGATTACCTTGCGGAATTCACGTGTGAACCAATAAAATTATTCAGCAGGGAAAAGGAAACGCGGCCACCAGCACTTAAGATAAATATTCGTTTATTCTGAGGACTTTTTGCATTAATACATCCCATAAACTTTTTATATTTCATTCAATCAATCACTTACGTAATTACGGGTTTAAAATCTTGCTATTAGAAAATTGTACAAATGAATTTATACATTAACGATACCGCAGCACAAAGTTTGAGTTGTTAAATATCTATTTACGAGTACTGTGCGGCTACAAAAGAAGTAGCTAAATATTTTAAATGTAAAATATTTTTTGTTTTTATGAATTTTAATATTTTTTTAGCCGTGTATTGGTGGCATAAGCGAATCTACTTCTCTATACTCTCCTATGGCTGTCGTAAGAGGTGACAGAGGGAAACTGGAACAGGAGATAGGATGGACATCTGCCTGATAACAGCTCAAAATAATAAAAAATTGCGGTAAAGAGATTTTAAACGTGGTAGAGCCATGCTGCAGCTATATTACTAGTATACTTGTAGCATGAATGGGTCGGCTCGACCGGGGAAGGTCCACGCTCTCACAGAATATCAGCGTAAAATAGCAGCTTAACACTGCTGTGTTTCTTATAGTGAGTGTAGAGAACCGGAGACTTTTACTGGAAAAGAGGCATTCCATCTTAGTCCTCACCGGTGACAACGCATCTGCATTTTGATTCGCAAACGAAGATAGATGTAGATGTCTATGGGCCACAGCAACCACTTACCATCAGGTGAACTGTGTGCTTGTTTGTCACCTTGTTCCATAAAAAAAAAGGTCATGGATGAGGCGTGTTATGAGGCAATCTAAGGTGGGAGGTATATGATCAACGGTAGACCGTCAGAGGATGTAATGAATAGAATAGAATAAATTTTATTCAATATAGATTACAAGAACACTTATAACTATGAATGGTTGGATAGTGGATTAATACTTGCATATGTTTCCCAGGTATCGTGGATACGAAGAAAAGACTATCATCTTTTAACAGTTGGCTTAACGACGTATAGTTCTGATCAACGGTTTCAAGCAATTCATCTGCAACATTCAGAGGTAGGTACCAGTGATATTATCTTCACAAACAGACAATGCAAATTTAATAATTATTATGTTTTTATTATTTCATGGAAGTACATCTTCCTTGCTATTCTGTTTGGTATGTCATTTATCTTACTCAAATTTTACAACGTTTTTATTAACTTGCTGTCTTGTATGTCTGTTCGGGTGGAATTATTGTTTGATAACTTGCCGATGAAATAGAGACTTGCAATTTTGAACATATCTCGGAATTGGATGACAATGTAAGAATATGGAGAAGAAGACGTGATATTACACATTTTTTTATAAATATTTTTTTCAAAAAATTCACCTTTTGGCAGGATTGGACTCTGAAGGTGAAATTTGTCCAGAAACGTGATGCGGGTATCTACGAATGCCAAGTGTCATCACATCCACCCACTAGTATCTTCTTGCGGCTTGATGTTGTCGGTATGGATTTGTTTTCTTTGATAGTTATTATTACACGATTTGTATAAAGTTTTACGAAACTCCATTTGAAGGTGTTTGTTATCTTCTTATTATACAAGACCATAACAATAAAAAGTAAGTGTCTTTTGGATTACCGATACTTACGCATCGTTGTTAACACTACATTACTATTAAATATATTGCGATAATTTGCATTTATTTATTTATTTAACGCAATAAAATAACAAATGCAAGAATCCTCTGAGTAATATGAATATTAGTGGTCTTCTAGAGGTCGAAGAAAGCTGCATTTTACTTTCAACTGTCTAGTATCATATAAAACACACATATCTCTTATACAAATTATAAAGTAAACGACTTTTGTCTTGACATACTTACACTCCACCACATACTATTAACAAAAAGGAATACTAAAACTTCTTGGTGACTTGAGTTATAATTATAACTTATAATAATATTATTATAGTCCTTCCTAATTAAAATTATTTGTCGACAATCTCTACTCTGTGCGACTGTTTAGCCACAAGCTATAAAGTGTTTGATATTGACTTTGTACGTACTGAGACATTGGCAGAATGAACGTCAACAAACGACATAATTTGCACAAGTGAAATCTATGTGCTTGACATTGGCACTATGATAATAAGCCATGTACCTATGTTTTAATTTTAGTTTTTAACAAATATTTAATATAAATTCTAGCATTCTGCATTGCTCTTTTGCTTAGTCACAAGCTACACATACTTTACAAACACTTTAGTTTGACATTAGCTTTGTACTTACACAGCATTGGCAGAATGAACGTCAACAAACGACATATATTTGGCCAAGTGAAATTTATGCGCTTGACACTGGCACTATGAACATTGACACTATGGTAATAAGCCATTTACATATGTTTTATTTTAATTTTTAACAAATATTTCATATTAATTAGCATTCCGCATTGCTCCATTTTAAAATTTAAATATGAAAAATGTCACACTCCTCCGTGCGCAAAATATGTTTAAAAAATGGATACAAGAGTTTCTCTTCACTTTTAAATATAATGAATTAATGTTTTTTTTTTTTAATAAGGATGACAAACAAAAGTCCACCTGATGGTAAGTGGATACTGTAGCGCATAGACATTTACATTTTCCACAATTAAGAATCAAAATGCAGATTGATTTTTTGCAACCTTTGAGGACTGAGATGGAATGCCTCGTTTCCACTTAAAAGGGTTTCCGATTCTCTATACTCACCATACGAAACACTGCAGCATTAAGCTGCTATTTTGTAGGTGGTATATATAAATATGAAAATATAGTTTGTTTTATGTAAAATTTTAGAGCAAAATTAAAGTTTATTTTAATGTATTAGGTCTAGAATATACACGAAATGTTTCTTGAAATGGAATACTTCACTAGGGAAACACAATTTAGAATTGCATTCTACGTTATCATGGGGCACAGTAAGATAAGCTTTAATGGAACCTGATGTCTAGAATGAGAACATTTTCAAACGACGAAAACATTTAGAATAAACGATTATCGATGCAAATTCAATTTGAATATTGATGTTGCTAAGAATATTTAAAATGAAGTAACTTTATAGATCTTGAATTTTTCAATTTTTTTTTTAATGTTTTTTAATTAAGTTCCAAAATTAAGGCCCAATTTTTACCAAAGTCTTATAACTCGAGAACTAATTGCTATTAAGTTATCAACAGTAGTTAAGCCAGAACAATTATTTTGCTTTAGATTATAATCCGTAAATATATTATTTTTGTTTCACAACACTATTCCAAAAATAGTATTAATAAGAACAATATTACTCTCTATGTTTTAATAATAGTTGATGACATCCTTAATTTTCTATCATTATTTTAGGGTTTAGACTGTCATGGATTTTAACGTAAAATCAAATAATATAACTGCAACAAATTATTCACTAAATAGGAATAATGTTATTTTAGTTTAGGCCTTTATTTCATCTGGTGCATACTAAATATGCATTTGATTTTAAGCCTATTAAAATTAAATTTATTTTTTTAAAATATAACACAAACGCCTTTCTCAAGCAAGACTAAACTGTATTATACCCTATTTGTATTGTTAATTATAAAGTGTGTTCTTTTGCAGGATTCCCTTAAAAATTATAATAATGTAAATGTAATGGTATTAATTTTCAGTGTATCAGTGTAATTCTCTTCACTTTTCCACTTTATGGCGATGTTGAACTTATTTTTCTTCTACAGTCAATTAGAATAATGACAAAACAACCATTAAATCAATCATTTGTTGAGTAAACGTCGTATTTCTACAACGATAAATATCGTACTAAAGCTGATTAGGCCGTCTACGGACTTACTCTTTAGTAATGAATTTAATATCGGTCGAGATGTTGCTGAAACGAAAAAGTTGATTATTCTGAGAGTTCTTGCAAAAAAAGGGAATAAGAAATCATTATTTATTAAGTTGTTATATGGCGAAATTGGGACATAAATTAAAATTAATAAATATTACTAGCCTCACTTAAATCGTTAATTACCGTTTACTAAAATTTAGTACCAATTATATCTATATCTGTCTCTTTCTATTTTGATTTAGAGAAAAGAATGAGAAACCAACCTTAAGCATTTTCTAAATTGATGTCTACTCATTTAAATAAAACAAATTTTATGGATTTTATCACGTATATTAACTTATATTCCCGACGTTTCGAGTACTTTACAGCACCCATGGTCACGGGGGAACTGAGGTGTATGACGTCCCAATGTCATAGTTAACCACGGATACCTACATATTAAAAATTATTAATTTTTGTTCCGATCTACGCAGTATGAACTTACAGTATCATGAAGTCTTGCAGTTGTATGCTTGCGTTGGGATTTAATTTTATTAATAATGGAATTTCAAGCAGATAATAATAATAATAATAACCGTATGGAAGGAGAAGGAGCTCAACGGGAGGTTCTATAAGGCTCTACATGAGCCTTTCGTAGACACATTTGCCTCCCTCCATTGGCTACGTTTTGGTGACCTCTTCGGGGAAACCGAGGGTTTTGTCTGTGCAATACAGGATCAGGTTATTAAGACCAACAACTATCGGAGATACATCCTGAAGGATGGCACCGTCAGCATTTGTCGAGTTTGTCGCCATCCCGGTGAATCACTTAAGCATGTCATCTCCGATTGTTCGGCGCTTTCTAACTCTGAGTACTTGCATAGGCACAACCTAGTAGTCAGGATTCTACACCAGGAGCTTGTTCTGAAATACGGTCTCGTGGATCGAAAACTGCCTTATTATAAGTACATGCCGGAAGCCGTGCTCGAAAATGACCGCGTCATCAGGCTCTATTGGGACCGGGCCATCATCACAGACAGGACCATTCTTGCGAATAATCATGATATTGTGCTGATGGACAGGGCACAGTGAAGGATATTTTTGGTCGACATTACGGTTCCGTATGACGAGAACTTCGTGAAAGCCGAAAGAGATAAGCTGACAAAATATCAGGACCTGGCTAACCGACATGTGAGGCGGACTGCCGGCCGAAATTATACCTGTAGTCATTTCTGCGAATGGGTTAATCCCAGTCAGCCTCTCGGGTCATCTGAGGCGACTGGGACTCCGTGACGGACCGCACCAAGCTCAAATGCAGACGGTGGTGCTCCTCGATACCGCCCACATCGTTCGCCGGCTTCTTTCCCTTTCCCCCTAACCCTCGGCCGTTTGGTCTCCCCTGCCGAGGGCTTCCATCTGGTTGGGTTGTTATGTTTATATGTATGTATGTTTATCATTTTTATTTACAATTATATATTTATACAGCCCAACCAGATGAGAAAACTATATAGATACCCCTCATAGTAATAATTTATTTCATAATAATTTTAATAATAATTTATTTCAAGTACAATTCATTCAAATATTGTCTTAATTTAAAATAGTCTACAATAAAAGGCCTTCTTAACCTCAACTAAGATAAACCTGTATCTCAGGTGTACGATGGTGCGTTTTTAAGTTCGCGGATTGGGTAGGTAGGTAATAAGTGAGGACTTTGCTGAATTACGTGCTAATTGAGAATCACATTATTAGTATAAGTACCAGGTTTTATTGTAATTTGATTATTAGTCTTTGAGTTATCGTCAACCAAACAAGTCAATCGGGAAGAAACTGTGAAATATGGAGAAAATCGAGTTCCGTGCCGTTATAAAATTCCTTACCAAGCGCGGAAAATCAGTTCAGACTATACTGAAAGAGATGTCATCCGGTTACGGAGACTCTTTTCCAAATAAAACTATGGTTTACAAGTGACATACCCATTTAAACAAGGCAGAGAGTCACTTGAAGACGACCTACGGCCAGGAAGACGGATCGAGGTGACCATTTCGGAAATTATTCAAAAAGTCGAAATATTAATTTAAGGAGATGCTCGCTTAAAGAAAAACAGCTCGCAAAAATGGTTGGAGTATCAAATACAACCATTTTAAAATTTCTTCATGACCATCTAGGCATGACTAAAGTCAGCGCAAGATGGGTGCCTAGAATGCTCACGCCGCCTCAAAAGCAACAGCGCGTGGAGTGTTCTCGTGCATTTTTGGACCTCTGTATGGAAGACAAATATGGATTATTGGGTCAAATTTTTACTGGTGACATAACTTGGGTTCACTATTATGAACCTGAGTTCAAACAGGACTTTATGCAGTGCCACAAAAATGGCACACCACCACCCAAGAAATTTAACGTGGCACAATCGGCTGGGAAAATCATGCCGACAGTCTTTTGGGACTCAGATGGATTTCTATTGATTAATCATAAAGATAAAGATGTCTCCATAACCGGAAATTACTATGCTTTAATCTTACAACAATTGAAGGAAGCCATAATGAGAAAAGAAGGGGAAAATTGACCAAAGGAATCCTTCTTCTGCAAGACAACGCACCTGTTCACAAGTGCCATGTTGCGATGGCTGCCCTGCAGAAGGTGTGCTTCGAAATTTTGGCACACCCACCCTATAGTCCTTACCTGACCTCTCGTGATTATTATCAATTTCCAAAATTAAAAGAAGAACTTCGTGAGAAAATGTTTTTAAGTGATGAAGAAGTGAAGGAAGCAGTTTCGGCGTATTTGTAGACAAAGAAAAATCATTTTTTTAGGTCTACATAAGTTAATTGAAAGATCCGAATGTATGTATTAAAGTAGCAGGTGAATATATTGAAAAGGATAAATAAAAATCCAAATTTATTTTTCCTTTTACTCCTTACCCCCCATTCCGCGAACTTAAAAACGCACCCTCGTATGTGCTAGTACATACATTCCCAAATATTTTCTGATTCCTATATAAAATTAGCTATGCCCTCCGACTTCGCCCGCGTGGAATTTACTACGATTTCATGGCTATCAATTTTTTTGCGCGGAACCCTTATTTTGTTTATGAGTAATGTTACCATCTTATAAATATTGACATTAATATTTATACGATACTAACGTCACTCAAATGTTTTGCCTTCCCGGAACCCCTCCACTAACACTTAAACTTTATGGTATGGTATTAAAGTTCAAATTGACTTTTAAGGGAATATAGAAAAGTGTTGTTTTTAGACTTTTTCAGGCAATGTTTTAATTTTTTCTCTCCGTAAGAACCATCTTCGTACTTCAAGAAATATTATAAAAAAGAATTAGAGAAATCGGTTCAGCTGCTCACGAGATTTGCGCTTAGCAACACATTCAGCGATTCATTTTTATATTGTAGATGAATAACTTACCACCTAATTTCGGTTTATTCGGTAAAATATATTACCATTAATTTACTTCAGATTTTAATTAGCTTAAAACAACCAGCAACTTTTCCGTATCATCGTATGACAAATTTTGTAACCATGTCCGAATTACTTTTTTACATTCTGCCATTTTTAACGGATGCATGTACAAAATTGCACTGTTTTGATAATACAGACAGTAGCACCCAGCCATCTTCTCTATTGTAATTAGGATGTTATTTGATTTCAATAGCCTCACGAATCATTCTTGGAAGGATTTGTGGTCTATCTAATCTATTGTAGTGACGGGGCGATCTTGTGCGTGTTCTCATACTGCAAACTTTCCGGATCGTCGATTCTTCACATCATCTATGTGTTATATAACGCGGGTTTTGTGCATCTTTTGGTTTGTTCTATATAAGAGAGACCATATTCACAATCAAGCCTGTACATTCCTGCATCTTGCAGAGGGACATTACACTTGAATGATGATAAAAACTGACTTATCTCCTTCGGCGGCTTGAAGTATGTTTTAATGGAAGTACGCTTCAAGATGTAGCTAATCGTGTCATTGACACCTCTGATATATGGCAGTACAGCAGACACTTGCTCGACTGTGGCCGGCTTCACTCGTTCACTGAGACGTAGGCTCGGGACCCGAAGCTTATTGTCGTGCAAAACTTGCTTGACGTGTTGGAGCTCGGCGGCCAGGTGTTTACTGTCACAGATCCCTCGTGCTCTCTGAAACAAAGATTTACCCGCGGTTGCTAACTGTGAAGGATTACACACGATACACAGTGTGGCTCAAGGTGTTATCAGGATTCTGAATTATTAACACATCTAGAAAAGCTAAATAATTGATTGCCTCTAACTCCATTGTGATCTGAATTTTAGAATGTAAGGAATTGAGATGGTCTAAAAATGCAGTTGCTTTATCTAAAGGTAGAATTGTGAAAGTGTCGTCTACGTACCGCTTGTAGAATCTTGGGTTTACGGGAGAAGTAAGCAAGGCTTTCTTCTCAAAGTCTTCCATGAATGTAATATGTATCGGTGACAATGAGAGATACAGGTGAGCCCATTGCCACGCCATCTACTTGCTTGTAGAACTCTTCCTTCCACAATAGGTACCCAGACGTAAGGCAGTATCTGAGTTAAACTGCATATTCTATGGTCATGTTCTTTTCCTTCAGCCTTTTAGTAATAATCGAGATGCAGTCTTCAACAGGTAAGCATGTGAAAAGAAACTGCACATCAAAACTGACCATAGTGTCATTGTTTGTCAGATGTAGGTCTTTAATCTCGCTGACAAAATGGTAGGAATCCCTTGTGTGTGCTTTTGTATGTCCCTTGAGCGGTAAGAGTATTTTCGCTAAGTGTTGAGCCATTCTATAAGTTGGTGAATCGATTTGGCTCACTATGGGACGTAGTGGAGAATGGGGCTTGTAAATTTTTGGTAAAACATACAACTTCGGTGGTTTGGTTGGTTACCCACACGTAGGTATTATTGATTTTATGTCTAGATTTAATTTTTTGGGAGTGTTTCTTTATGAGGTCACTAGTTGTTTTAAGTGTGTTATTTGTCTACTTTTATGAGCAAGGCCGTTTTACATGTTTGTGATATACTAAAGAACGATGGTACATTTACACACGTTTGCACAATACTATTTATATTACTTCAACACTATTCGCAAATCTTAAGTTTATATGAAAATATACATTTTTCCTTATAACCATCTGTTACCCAGATAATACATCAAAGTTACGTTCTTGGTACTTTTACTTGACAGCCTAAAATAAATCTTCTTTTGCAGAGGCCCGCGCCCAAATATCCGGACCAACGGAGAAATATCTCAAGCCGGGATCGACGCTGCGTTTGCAATGTTCCGTTGTTCAGACAACGGAAGCTCCGGCGTTTGTATTTTGGTCAGTCGAATAAAGATAGAATTATTATTTTTTAAATGTAAATACATATTTTCCTGCAGATGATATTCTGTTGTACCACTAAGCTTGAACAACCGAACACCGATGGAAAAAAAGTTTCTCGAGTGGCAGATTTGTACCGGTAAGGAAAAGGTACGGCGTCCACCCACTAAATGGAGGAACAACTTTGTAAGAGATAGAAGCCGATGAATGCAGGTGGCTTAAAACCGAGCTTTGTGTCATTACTTAGGGGAGGTCTATGTTCAGCAGTGGACTTCTACATTACAATTATTATATTAAGATAATTAATAGAATCAGGCGTTACTTTGCGGAAGTCCATTATAATGAGGTTGTTATAAATTAATTTGTACCATTCCGCGTAAAGAGTAAAGAAAGAAAATGATGTGACCTGCCCAGTTTTAAAGGGACCTCCCACCCTCCTTCAATCGCGCTCACTATACCCGTCACCGTCAATCCCAGCACTCCCATCCCCTAGGGTGATTTATTATTATTATTGTAAGTACATTAGTAAATTTTGACTGGTCAAAAAGATTTAATTTTTTCAACAATTTTTAGTTAATCGTACTTAATATAATTATATTTAGAACTCGTATCCCTGTTAAGTGTTTTGACTGACAAGAAAGTGTTATTAAGCTAAAACTAATTAAAGTACTCTTGAAAGCGGCAGGCAAACTCATCAAAATGCCTAGCTCACGGCCCGAAATAAATATTCTTAAAGGTTTTAATTATTTAAGGATATTTATTCTTTCTTTATTTTTACCCGACTAGCCCAGAAGAAGGGTACGGCTTGATGGATTTTAATTGTGAGGTATCTTTAGATTCGTCTTAATTTTGGAAGTATTATTAGGTAGTCGTGTTTTTATTGTTTTAACCCTTTTGTTTGTTATACCTACGAAAACAAAAACAGTTTTTATGTGGTAGAGCCATGCTACAGCTATATTAGTAGTATAATTGTTACTACAACTATACTAGTATAGTTGTTACTACAACTATACTACTAACATAGCTGCTGAATGGGTCGGCTCGACCAAGGAAGGGCCACGCTCTCACAGAATACCAGCGTAAAATGGCAGCTTGACACTGCTGTGTTTCGTATGGTGAGTGTAGAGAACCATAGACCCATTTTACTAGAAAAGAGGCATTTCATCTTAGTCCTTACGGGTGACGACACATCACAATTTTGATTCTTTATTGAGAATAAATAGATGTCTATGGGTCACAACAACCAACCATCAGGTGGACTGTGTGCTCGTTTGTCACCCTATCCTATAAAAAACACAACAACAAAATTTTATAAAAATTTAAGTAATATATTATAGCAGTCAATTTTCTTCACACAAATTGCACACGACACGGCACAATCCTCTTAAATTGGTTTACGAATGTTCAATAAAGCTCCCTTTTGATGTATCACAAGATTGGCATCAGAGACATATTGGCATATTGTTATTAATTTTGAATATGTATTTAGATACATCATTTTCATTATAAAGCGAATGTAAATGTACGATGGCTCCGTAGCTCAGTGGCTTAGCAATGAGTTGCAGTGCTAAGGGCCGCGGGTTCGTATCCCGCACGAAACAAATATTTGTATGGCTGTAAACTGCCCCCACGATACAGGAGAAAATCCTAGTGTGGTTACGTAAAAAAGAAAAAGAAAATAAATGCATGTTTAATAGAAGCTGTTACTCGTATAACCTTACAATGCTATTACAGCTTATCAAAAGTCTACTGATGAACATATCCCTTCCCAAAGATTTTCCCACAGGGAGGCATTTCCTGTAGTTATCTATAGCGGTGGCAACAAACGGGTCAGCAACCGCAATTTTTTGGAGATGTTATCAGAAAGATGCTGGCCCTAAATCTGTTTCATTTCCCTTTGTTGACTCTTTCGACACCCACGGCACGAAACAGGGTACTGGATATTCTTACACTGCCACTACACGGTCATGATAGTCTATTGTTATTTATCTATTTCTATAATTATAGGTATCACAACAGCCGAATGATAAACTACGACGTGGAGAGGGGCATCAATGTAACAACTGATCCTGCGCAACGCCTGTCAGACCTTCTCATACCAGCTGCTAGTGTTTCTCACGCTGGTAACTACACCTGCGTGCCCAATAACGCTGTGCCAGCGAGTATATACGTCCATATTTTTAATGGTAACAAATTGCACCGTTTAATTTTCTTCTTCCTCACAACTATAACTGTTTATGTGTTTGAAGCAGCAGCATATGTGGGTGACTGCCTCTTTGATCTAGTGGTCGTAGTAAACGCTACTGCTGATCATGAAGTATCGGGTACGTATCAGTCGGGCCAAAAAAATCTGTTATTGACTTTTTCTGTCAAGTGATTCTTAGTATCAGCCCGGAGTCAGGAAGTTGGCGGTGTTACGCCCCCGTGCCCACAAGTCGTTGGTCCTATGCCTGATCACGGGTCATGTCGGATTATCGTCCCGATGGACTAAGAGAGTGAGAGAGTAGAGAGTGAGTTTTTGTTTGCGTATACACTCGGGCACTATAATAGTGTTCAGCGCAAATGGCTAATTTCCTTTGAGACTGGCCGCCATGACAAAAATTCGTTTTGGAGGACATTGTTACATTTTGGGTAGTTGTGGAGCGTGAACTCAAAAAATTGTGGGTTCGGATTTGTCATTTGACTACTGTCGTGAACCACAACCACTCCTAAACCCAAACATTTTAAGCTTACGTGGAGTGGTTAAGGGGAAAATAAGAAATGTTTATACCATTGTTCATATAAAAAAAAAATAATGATATTCTGAACGATATTAGAATAGTATTTCAATAGAGTTTATAAGCTTTCTTGTAGATATAACCCCTTCAAATTACTTGCCAGCTGGTACGTATCACATTTTAAAGTATATCCATCGTCAGTGTTGACTTTTTCACTTCTTATTTATTTATGGGCTTTTATACCAATCATATAGTCTTAGTGCCATATGGAAAACAATCTTGGGAAGTCAGTTTTGTTGGTAAGCTTGGAACTAATCCTTTCCTTACCTTATCTTAAGTTAAATATAAATGAAATTTTTACGAGTTCAGTGTATTTGATCACAGCTATAAGTCACTAGTTGTATAGGGATTTTATGTGGTTTTAAATGTATTTACGAAAGGATTACTTAACCTGGCGATTTAATAACTAGATTGGTGTTTTTACCATTGAATGCTGTGACTCATAGAAATGTCGTCATTCACCTGTACTTCGGTGTGGGTATTCTGTGTGATTGTGATCCTTCTTAAAACTGAAGGACAAACAAACTTACAGACCACTCGATGGATGTAGCTACTGCAGTCGATGGACTGCAATCAACTGCAAATGAAGAAGGCTACAGATATGAATTGTCACCTCTGACGGAATGCCTTATAATCTGTAACTATACTGACTTTCTTAGTGCTTTAAAACAACAGCAGTGCAGGCACTTCTACGGTGGTAAAAAACAGAGACAGTTAGACAGAGTCCTACTACTTAGTACTGAAATTACCAAAACATGACTTTTCGCAGGTGAGAATCCAGCAGCAATGCAATCTTCATCGCCCAGCTTCGTCTACTGCTTCAGATTTCATGGTCTACTCTGCACAATTCTATCAATAGCTCACTTCATTATACGGTGACATACAAACTGAATATTTATCTCGCTTTTTCATGCATGTATCCTATCGTCTAGTTGCGAGTAACTTATTGTATGAGGTAAATTTTGATTGGAACATAACATAGTATATTAAGAATTCGGTTAGTAGCGCGTAAAAACCAGAAAAAATGTATTTCAGACCCGTCAACCTCCTGATCAACACTAACACTATATATTTTTGATTTTCTTACGAAACAAAGGCTACACATAATTCGAGTCCGTTGACATGGACGTCTAAGTCTTTTGCGGAATTAAAATGATGTATGCACCAAAACTATTTATTTGTATTATCCTATTACTTATTTGAAAAATTACTTTTGTTGTGATCATAATTTTATGTTCTAATTTTAATAATTATTTACTCATAAACTAATATTTTTTTGTCGATGAAATATATTTTACTAGCGATCCGCCCCGGATCTTAACAACAGCGCCACCTACCAGGTCCCATTGTAAATCTAAAAAATTCAGGGACCCATTCAAACACACACAAAAACTTTATCAAAATAGGGTCAACGATTTTCGAGTTTGTACGAGACTAAGGGACGGCAGTTGACTTTAATATATTAGAGAGATGTTAATAATTTGTTACTTCAAAATTTATCTCATGCGTTTAAATATGTTTATTTGTATTACTATCAGAGTATCGGTGAAATGATTTTCATCTGTATGAAATATAATATGTGTAATGTTTAGAATGTAAAAAAAATCTCATTTAATGTGACTAATATTATAGAACTTAAGATAATGTAAAAGTACATGTTTATTCGCATTTTTAATTTATGATAGATAATATTTCTGCTATTTTAAAATTTGTTGTTGTACCAGATCACAAATTCGCATTGATTTTTCAATAAATGTACATAATATAATTATTAATAATTACGTTATCACATGACAATGATTCAATTTAATTTATAAACAAATTATATTTTATGAGGAAAGTAAGTTTAAAACTACTGCCAATGTGTTTTTATTATCTTGAACTGTCTTATCTTACCTTGTAATAAAAGTCGTCATCATGTGTTAGAGCCATGCTGGAGCTATATTAATAGTATAATTGTAGCACGAATGGGTCGGCTCGACCGGGGCAGGACCACGCTCTCACAGAATATCAGCGTAAAATAGCAGCTTAATGCTGCTGTGTTTCGTATGATGAGTGTAGAGAACCGGAGACCCATTTTACTGGAAAAGAGGCATTCTATCTTAGTCCTCACGGCTGACAACGCATCTGTATTTTAATTCGTAAACGAAGATAGATGTAGATGTCTATGGGCCACAGTAACCACTTACCATCAGGTGGACTGTGTGCTCGTTTGTCACCCTTATTCTATAAAAAAAAATCAAGTCACAACAATTGAAAAGTTTCCATAAACTAAAAATTGATAGAGGTCCGTCTTATTGATGGTTTTCTTAACAATTTTCTTTAGTTTTTTCTTAGATCTATTTTGTCAATAAAAATGTATTCCTAACAAATCTAGAAATCATAAAATATTCACATACAGTATACACATAAAAACAGATGAACAAAACGAAATTACTTGGCTTTCTTGACATCGACAACAGAAAAGTTTATCGTGCATAAATCACATAACAATCTCATTTTAATACATATTAAAGTTTTACGCCATTGAGCTACGTTATTATTAATATTTCTTATAAAGAGAAAATTTTGTTAACTCAAAAGCCTGTATGACTTCCAACAGTTCATTAAAATTCATTGTTTTTTTTAATGTTTCTGCACATTCACTATAAAGGACAAAATGCGTATTACCATAGGATATTCATCCATCTTAATATTCATTATATTCCTAGGTCAAATGTCAGGATTGGATATCTCGATATCTCTTATACCTTTTTATATTATCAGTTTATGTGCGAATTTATATTTAATTTATAAGAAATATGTTAATGTGTTTTCATTAATATGATCTAATTTCACAATTTGGTTTAAGTATAAAAAACTTTTAAGTATGGTTTTCGGAGTTTTTTTTTGACAAAACAATACATTATGTATCATTCTTGCATATACCGTAATCACTTTTTAGAAATTTTACCTAGCATTGTAAATATTCTTGTTGTTTTATTTTATCGTATTTAAAATACGTATTTTCACTAATTATCTTCATAAGAGTTAGATATTTATTAAAATTACTTAAATGTTGAATAAAAAGAATAATTTTGTGTAAACAGTTAAATAAAAATAATGTTTATTCTATATAATTTACATTTTAAGAAAACTGGGTATTTGTATCGCCTCTGTTCAATACTAAAGTATTGAAATGTAAATATAGTTACAATATTTGTGATATAAATATGATCATAAAAATTTGTTAATACTTGTAAATATTTTAGAATTAAGGAAACCATAATGATTATACATAATTGTTCACTTTAATTGTTGTTTTATTTTAAATAGTTTTCCCATTGTGGTAAAGTCATGCTACAGACTTGGCCAGTTTTTGTCAAGTTATATTGAGCTGAATACATATTAAATTATTTGTTCCTAAATGCAGTTAAGTAATTGCTCTTCAATGACTTACATATATTATGGGTGCACGATTGTGTCAGCTTGACTGGTAAAGACCACTTTATAACGGAATAATTGTTTCGTAATGAAAGAAAGCTTTAAGCATTAGCATCAGTCTGGTACATGGCTTTAATAAATGCTGGCAGTAGGTAATCTACGTGTAAGAATTAATTAGCTTATTTTGTCCCGATTGCTTCGCAAGAGTTGACTTTGGAATATAACAGAATGATTACGCGGCCTTTAATTTATGGCGGCATGATATTATTATGGGTTTAAGAAATTAAAATTACTACAACGTAGCAGCAATATCACATCTTTGTACTATTTGCTAAGGCATAATGACTGAAACACAGGTTACCATTCCAATACAGCCTATAAAATTCCATTGTTGAACAAAGGAATCCCCTATATAATATTATATATGGGAGATTTTGGCATAGTTGACTCGATTGGCGAGCGGGTTGTCAACCGCAGTTTTTTAATTATTTTTAGCTGTTACCATGCTGTCCATCCCTGTTTCAATTTCCCTCTACTGCCTCTTGCGACACCCACGGAACAATATGGGGTAGTCGATATTCTTACACAACCACTAAACAGCACAATATACCAATACAGAATCATTACCTAATAACTCATTCGGAGCAAAGACAACCTAAAATTCATGCTTTTTCTATGTATGGAGAAATGAATACGAGTACCTACATGTTTTGACGTTTTCATTCATTACAATCTATTAGTAACCCACTGCGATGCATAGGCCTCCCTTATAGGGGAGATTGCTTCATAGGGGGATATTTGTAATAGTTACCGCAATCCGCCTTATTGGCAGCTGCAGGTTTTTATTACTTTAAGTTACATTTCATGTTTAATACAAACCATTCCCTCTATCGTCTTACGATATCCACGGGATAGTATAAGGTAGTGTTTTCTCTGAATCAAGCACTACATGGCTTTTGACATGTTTTGACTTTTAAAAAATTATAGACTTCATTTGTGCCAGAGATTGGTCGCGTGTGATATTTGCTGATTTACCAAGTACTCTACGGTAAATATTATACATGTATAAACGCATGGCTAAGAAATTAAAAAAAATATTTCGAAGACATGTGAATTTACGCATTAGAACATCGCGGCGGACTTTTCTTAGCCCTTAAACCTTCTCAGTAATAAGAGGAGGCCTGTGCCCAGGAGTGGTGCTGTAACTTTAAATTTTAACTTTTATATATATCTAATCGTAGGTTTTTACGTTTTTGGTGAAAGAAATAGATTTAAATTTAGGGATGCTTAATTGCAATTTATTGATTAGACAGTAGTTAGATAACCGGTCAAGATCTTCTTGTAGCTTCTCACAATCATTAAAGGACTTCACACTTGGATAAACTTTCAGGTCATCTGCATATAACAAAAAATTACTATTTATAAAACAAGACTGAATATCATTAATATATAATGTGAAGAGCATCGGACCTAGTATAGATGCCTGTGGTATACCTGAGGATACTAATTTTTCGCTAGAGGAGAATCCATTAACCACAATTTTTTGGGTCCTTTTAATAATGTACGAGTACGAAGAGAACCAACACAATAAGTTTCCACGAATACCATTGAACGCAAGTTTTTGAAGAAGGATGGAATGATCCACCTTATCAAAGGCTTTACAAAAGTCTGTATAAATAGTATCAGTTTGTATTCGATTGTCCATATTATCAAAGAGAAAGTTTGTATATAAAATAAGATTACTGATGGTCGATCGGTGTTTTACGAAACCATGTTGTTCTGGAATTGGTAAGTTGTGTAAACTCGGATAAATTGAATTATGAACTCAGCGTTCAAGGACTTTTGATATGGCAGAAAGTAAGGAAATAGGTTTAAAATTAGTCATGTTACGGCCTACGGTTGCTCCCTTAAAGGATCCAATCCCCTGGGGCCCATGAGCAGAAGACTTCCCGAGCAAACGTAGGTCGGGCCTCAATGTGGCCACGTGGAATCTCTCTAATTACACTAGAATATATGGGGGAGCGTTATACTACGGCCAGTCGACCGGAAGGAATTTGGACGAAGCTTACTTACCTCTATCCAAGGCGACTGGTCCCTCCGGAGTCGGTCAGGTCGCATGTGGTTGTGTAGTGCAAGGGAAAGAATGGTGATGTGGTGTGTATCTGGGTGTGACTGATGGTGATTGAACCTAGACCTTGGCCGTCGGCAGCAGCCCGAGCGTCGACACCGCTCCAACTTGAGGGGGCCTTTCGAGGTTATCCACAGTCACTTTCTTCTTTCGTCACGTTGACAGTCAATTAACTCTATCGTACGATTTACTAACTTACAGAAGCCACTAACTATTGCTGGTTATAAGGTTTACACACAAAACGCACACGGAGTTTACAGTTAATTCTAGAATATTAGAGGCCGCACTAGCTAATATTGCTTAATGCACTTATGCAGATTCTGAGTCA